GCCACACCAGTCACGTGACCTTGATGACGCAACAATATGTAAACTTAGGTTTGTTAATTATTAAGCTTTAAGGTGAAAGTTGAACGGGAATACCAGTAAACATTCTTAGAATAGTTATTAGCCTAACGAGATCATGATGTTCGTATTAGTTTGTGTGAAAATTTGTTGAAAGTTTCTTTGTATTTACCTAGAATGTCGTTATTTAGGCCTACATGAATATCGCACGTTCAGTGCTGTAAATCAAGACATTATTGTTTTTGGACGCAAGGAAGCTAGCACCGAGATCTCGTGTAAATCTACACGATAACCAAGTTTTCATTAGATTTATGAAGGCTCACTGTAAAATGCGGTGTAGGTTTAGATGATAACCTTAATTTCAGCAGATTCTTGGATGATCGTAATATAGTCTGATGTAGGCCTATATAACGACGATATTCTAAATAGATACAAAGAAACTTTCACCAATTCTTACACAAACTAGTACGAACATCATGATATCATTAGGCTAATACCCAGTCTAAGAATGTTTAGTGATATTCCCGTTCAGCTTTCACTGTAAAGCTTAATAATTAACAAAACATAAGTTTCTATGTTTATTCATACTTGCAGCAAACAAACAATAAAACTTCCATCATTTGTATAACGTTCAGTTCTTAATTAAGAGGGTCTTGCGTAAACACAAGTTCCCTTCTGTTGAATACATGTATATAGTCGAAGTAGAAGAGGCTTATCGCTACAATTTTTAAGAAAACGTAAAATAATTTTCTCGTTAAGTACGATGAAAGGGGTTAATGGTACAACTGGTACTGCGTTCCTATCCAGAGAGGTGTATTTTTACAAGTTTTTAGACTCTAGCATAATCACAATATCGTTATCTTTAGTTGATAATGCCCAGCTCTTATCATGTAGCTACGTGAGGTCAAACTTTAGAATCGCTTTTAGTAAAAAATACTCATCTTCTGTTATCTAACCGTCCTGAACCCTCTAATTTTCAAAAGGAATTGAGAGTAGTAGATTGCCGAAGGTACACAATCTTTCGTTTATTATCCGAGTGTCATTCCTGCACATTTAATTCTCTGTTATCTCGCTAGGGGCCCTTCCACAATCCTCGGGCTTTAAAGTAAGTTAAATTCTAACATAGTGCCAAAAAAAGCCAATCTCAAACAACTACGCCATAAAACTAAAACTGATGAAGGAATAAAATGGAATGTAAGGGGATTAGTGCCGATCCTTCATTTTCTTCTAAGGTGTTTGAAATCCGACGCAATCTGTATTTTTAAACACTCAAATTACTGCATGTCCCATTTCATTATCTCCAAGCGTCTTTACCTCGGTAATAACTAACTGTATTTACGCTTTTTCTGATCAGTGAATGTACAAAAATGTTTACGGAAATCAACGCCAGGGAAAAGTTTACACGAATGATATTCTCTTGTCATATATTTGTCAAATTCAAAATTAACAATTAAAGGTCACGCTAATAGTTCACTAAGTATAATTAAAATTTAATTCAAAATAAAAATTTTCATGTTATTTACCGGCGACGTTCGAGCTGCTAGTCCGATAAAACTTTTATTTCACCGATATATTTCTGTAACTATGTTTAACTTTTAAAATAAATAAAAAATTGCACTTGAATTATTTTTACCACCCTAACATATACTGTTCTCGTGGGAAACGCAGTATATTCTGCCAAACAAGAACAAATTAGAATATTCCCTTCCGTTCCGACGTGAACGAGTGACATCTTTAAGAAATCAGCCTGTAGTGAGGATGTCATGTTACAAACGTGTTTTGTTCTTAATAGGTTACAGTACCGAAGCAATATAATTTTTATCTCACCAAATCGTACGTCGTAATTACGTGTGCTAACTCACTACTCAATCCATTAATTGGTGTTTTGTAAATCATAATTGAAAATTTACCTTAAATGTCAATAAATAGTTTCAGGTTTTATATGCAGTCGAGTTATGATATTTAAATTCAAATCCCCAAACAGTATCAAAAATAATAATTCAACTAATGTATAAAATGGGATGAGGAAGTATAGTATTATAGAATAAAAATGTTTTTTTAGTTCTGGTTTAAGAAGCAAATATTGTTTTTAGAGCATTTAAATCTAATAAGTAATGCACGATACTGTTGAAACATTTTAACTTGAGAAGCATTCGCATATTTAGTAATTTCCTTGTGTGAATTCGAGACTTGATATAAAGAATATACTAATTTATCATATGTACTTTCAACTGCTCCAAATTATTATCATGACTACAAAGTGATTAACAAGTTTAATCCACTCAGGCATACAAAATTTAGCCAATTCTAATGTTTGTAAAAAATATAAATTCTTAATATTGCTACTAGATGGCGCATTATAGAAAAATATGCACTCACCTCTACAAGTTGGACAACATTCTCCAGGTTTTGTTGTATACTTAGATTCTGGGCAAGGCAGGACAGGACAGGCTTTTTTTATGCACACAATATTTCCTTTCTGTTAGAAGTAGAGGAACAAAAAATAAACGCCATTGCTTAAAGGAGTTCTGTGGAAGATTTTACTTGATGAGGGCTGATAAAGGTCTATGTTGTTAGGAGGTTTGATCTTTATTGTCTCGAGTTAGTATTCATGCGTTTTGGAGTGAACACTCATACATAACTCAAAGAAAGAGAATGATGCTTAACCGATTTTGTTTTCTGTTAATTCATACTATTTGTCTTTTTTACAGTATCACGTAGAAAATAAGTAAAAAAAAATTACAATGAGAAATACCACTTTTCACAAATAAATATACAGTTGTGAAGAAGTTATTACAGGAAGAATGTAATCAAAATTGACAGGCTTACTTTACAGCTACACTGTACACAAGGGTCTGCCTGGGTCACTTCTATCTCCTGGTTGTCAGAATAGCTACGTCCACCCACGGTGCAGCCTGAAATGACCATGCACATGCCGAAAATCTCAGTAAAATATAAACTAGAGTAGACTCTGTCCTGTATCAAGGGAAAAGTTAACTTCAAAAAAAATTTACTACACATTTCTACTTCCACATTACGACTTTGCGCAACTTTAAAGTCGCATGACCTATAACATTAAAACAAGAAATTTACTAAATTATAGTTCTCCATAACTGATGATCTTATTTATCTATGGCGTGGTTTTAGGTAATAAACCAGTTCTTATCGAATTTTGTAAGTTAGTGATGGTTTCGAAAAACAATAAATATTTAAGCAGAACAATAAAAGAACCTTGTTTCAGTGAGGTCGCTGATTGTCAGCTCGCTACATTCCTATTAACACTGTTACAAAAGCCATCAAACAAATAACGATTCTTTGTATTGAATCTGTGGCTTTCGGGTAATCTTAAAAAAAATCATCTCAAAGTCAGATAACTAATTGTCTTAATAAATTGGGATCTGTCAAAATGAAGAGTCATGGCATTCTATCAGCAGAAGAGATCAATGAAAGAACTGGTTGAAGCCGACAGCCTTTTCAAGGTGAAACCATTTCTCGTGCTACCACGCCTGTTTCGACAAACCTTAAACAGAATAAAACGTTTTTGTGATGTTATAGGTTCTATCTGCTTGCGGATCGGTTTCATTGTATTCGAAGTAACACGCCAGCAAAGTAGAAAATACTTCTGACATGCACTGTCAAACACAACTGGGGAAGAAGTTAGGCCTATTATTAACAAAAATACAAAATGTGCTTTAAAAAACATATAAATAAATTTCAAAACTACGGATTTTGAAAGGCCATGATTCAAAAGGACAAAATTGTGAAATAATCAATTAAGATTATCAGGTAGCCAATATTGTATCTGTTTATAGGAAAACATACAAGTATTTTTTTTCTATAAACACATGCTTTTTTTTCTTTCTAATTTTGTTTTTGTTATATATTTGCGACGTACGCATTATTTTTCCCACTTATCATATTGTAAACTGTTTGTCCTTGATAGACCAAATGGAGGGCAGCTAATCAATACCACCTACCGCCAACTCTTGAGCTACTCTTGTCAGACTGAACATTGGGATTTGACTGTCACTGTTATAATGCACCCATGGCCTTAAACTGCCCAAAATCTTTAGTAGATAATATGTATTATAATATTTAAGTTTAAGTTCCCCAAGTTTCAAGGTCAGTGAAGTTGATACAAGCAACGTTCTTATGTAAGTAAAAGGGATTTTAAAAATCATACACAGTAAAATTGTAATAAACAGTCTATTTTTAAATAACTGAATTTGTTAAAGATAATGCCTGTCTGTAGCTCAGCGATAAGCTTCAGGGCCTATAATGCTGAAATTTTTGGTTCGATCCTTGTGGTGGGCACAGATCAAATAGTCTATTCTGCAGCTTTGCGCTTAAACAAAGACAAACATTCAGAAGCTAATGATGAAAATGTTTTTGCAATGCTGTCACACCCAAGATTAGAACTAAAGGTACCCCTCACTCCAGTGGCTTAACGGTAAGTCTGAAGGCTTGTAACTGAAAACAACAACAACAACAAAACGGATTTCGATATCCGTGGTGGGCATAGTACAGATAGCCCACTGTGTAGCTTTATGCAAGAAACAAACAAACACAAATAAAGGTTGTTGTAAAAGGTATCTAAACCATATGTTCATTGTTATCATTATTTTGATAACAGTTTTGTGAAGATGAAAGAAAAATACAACTGACAGTTGTATTCGAAGCATCTTCTTCACTACGCAGTTATATAATTTGTTTTAACCACTGCCAAAGGCACAAAACTGGGAGGCTTCTATGTTTTTCAACATCCCTCTGCCAGTCCAACATTCGTGTTTGTTGTTGAAACAACTATATAAATTATGGAATTTTCAAGCCGAACCTAATTGTTTAGCTTATTTTCAGGTTGTGCCGCCTCTCTTGAAAACTACGCCCAACGAATGCCACTTTTTTTTAAGTTTTTGTTTCTGCCCCTGGGGGTTTCATGAGAGATAAAAAATTACTGTGGTTCATGTCCAGAAACTTTCATTAATTTGTGCGTACCATTGTATCATTTGGATCAGGATTGTCCAAGTGTGTGGTGTGACGGGCCACACAGTATTTTGAGTGCGATATCAGGGGCCTTATACTAGTTATCAGTGTAAAAACATATCATCGCTTATCTAAGATTATTGGTGTTAAACACCAACCGGAGTAATATAGTAAAGGCAACAAATATTATGCAACCAAGTCTCAAACTTTGTAGCTGAAATTTTTCTGTACTTTGTGAAAATTTATCTGAAAATATTAAGTTTCTCAAGCTAAATTTGAAAATTAGGCTGGGGCTTCAAGCACTGTGTATACATGTATAAACATGCAAACATTACATCAGGTAAAACTAAAGAGAATGACGGAAGAGCCATGACGTCATATTGGAAGTTTCTGTTAGTTTGGATCACATTTAAGATGTCTGAGTGTACACCAGATCTTTACTAAACCAAACTCTCCAAATAAAATGTATTTGTTTGTTTGTTTGAAGTGAAGCACAAAGCTACACAATGGACTATCTGTGCTCTGCCCACCACGGGTATCGAAACCCGGATTCTAGCGTTGTAAGTCCGCAGACATACCGCTGTGCTACTGGGGGCCCAAATAAAGTGTACACCAAATCCTTTACTAAACCAAACTATCCAAATAAGGTGTACACCAGATCCTTTACTAAACCAAACTCTCCAAATAAAATGTACACCAGATCCTTTACTAAACCAAACTATCCAAATAAAGTGTGCGCTAGATCCTTTACTAAACTAAACTCTTCAAATAAAGAAATCTAAAGTTACATCGGATTGGCTTTTCCTTGAGCATCACCCAGTAGAACATATGGTACTATTATGGAATTACAACGCAAAAATCCGGGATTTGAGTCCCCATGTTGAACAGATCGTAGAGATCCCATTGTGTAGCTTTGTGCTTAAACAAAACACTTCATTGCGCTATCTGAACATTGGCTAAACGGTTAGACGTTAGATTCAGTTGTACAACTCTCAAAACAAGGTTAAAGTTTAACCATTTAATAATTAGGTTAAATCTCCTACCAGCTCTCTCGAAATAGTGAGCAAAATATTACATTAGAGTTGATTTTCTGTCATTTCTCCCCCATGAAAACGGTTAGTAGAATTTATGTAGAAATATTTGTGTGGAAAAGATATATAACATTGTATGAAATTGAATTTCTTCTTCAGTTGCCGAAAATCGATGTATACTTAATGAATATGTTTGCTTGCTGTCTCACAATGTTAATGAACGTTCCTCGAGCTTTCTAAACATTACATTATCAAAATTATTTTAAACTAAGACAAGAGAAATGAAAATAGTGTTTTAGTTTAGAGGCACGGTAGTGACTCCAGTCAAGCTACAAGTGCGGAGTAATATTGCCGTCTTTCTGTACACAGGACAATATTTTCGGCGAAATCTGGGATACTGTTACAGCTGTTTCAAATTCTAGAATGCCAGTATTCTTAAGTTTAGGAACAGATATATACACTATTACATCACAGAAGTTTTGTTTGTGTTTTAGATTAAGAAAAATAAGCAGTCAAAAAGTGTCAAAATTATCGTTCTTTGTCTTGTTGAAGAGACAAAACATGTAACAAACAAAATCTGAATTATGGATTTACAACTGTACACATACATTAATATTTTAGATAATTTCAGTAGTGAATTGCTGTTTACAGTCACGGTGTTAAAACTTATGATTTAAGGGCGCAGGAGTAGGTAGAAAATACGAAATGAGAGAATGGGGTAGTGGTGTAAGACCCTTCATTTGAGTAGATATATTCTTCTGACTGCTGGAGTTCGAATCCATGTTCGGCTAGAATATTACTTTGAAATAGTATTAAAACAAAAACTAGTGACATGAGATCACTAAAATTTATAAAAGGATAAATGCTATAGTAAGTAACTGCAAAAAAATGAAACAAGAAAAGTATTGGGGGATTCTGGGCTCCACTTTTCATTTCTTATTGAACGAAGAGAAACATGAATATAAGTCATTACAGAATAACGAACTTGAACTAGTTCTTAGCATATGCATTTTGTATCTTGTATAGTTTCAATCTGAAGAGCATGTTATGCGACACATGGGTTAAACGGTCAGGTCAGAGATCCATAGGTAATTCAGGAACTGCTGACCTCAATAAGGGCATCTGCAGCATGAATGGCTACTCATTTTTTAATCGAACAACGAAATTGATTGTCAATGTTTTAACGTTCCCACAGTAGAAAGTGTAGAGCGCGTTGAGCGGCTTATCGTAGCTCGAGCTTTGTACCTTCCGAAATACAGCCTATCGTGCTGACCAGTAGATCAAGTCCGGCTCTATATAGATTAAGTCATAAGTTGGGATTGCGGCTGCAACACTTTAAAAGCGAGGATACCCAGATGGTGTAAAGTAATTTGTGTTTAAATATTAGGTTTTCATCCTATGATTGACTTCTGATATTTATGAAAATATGTCATGTAATTTCTATTGATAATGTTTTTTTGTTTTTTTAAGATCCTTCTTTGGTACATGACTATTTATACTCTTTGAGCTTAAACAACATGACATTGTTATTCAAACTAGAAATTAAATATGTATATATTAATGAAAACAATGTGATAAAATTAGTTAATTAACTTGATATATTACATGCAGAGTACATTAGTTTTAATAAAATCGCTTCAAACTCAAGTTACTAAAATTAATAAAGATAAAAATGGATCATAATATTATACATATTTTTTGATAGATAAGCCCCCACCCCAGTGGCACAGTGGTATGTTTGCGGACTTATAATGCTAGAAACCGGGTTTCGATACCTGTGGTGGGCAGAGCACAGTTAGCCCTTTGTGTAGCTTTGAGCCTAACTACAAACAAACAAAATTGATAAATGAATGCACCAGTCATTATCTTTAAGAACTCATATCGCAGTTAACAAAACTGTC